CTGCTGTTGCTGGATTCTGCTTTGTAAGGCTGAGCTTGTCATAGCCGCTACAGATTTCATCATTCTGCCTTTGGGACTTGAAGTCAGCAGGTGCAGCAAACTGGTATTTGTGGTAGTTGGCAAGTTGAAAGTCTGTATCAGTGCTGTGTGGTATAAAACTGAATGGACAAATAGCCCCGTCGGTGAGCTAAGCAAGTTCTGCTTTCCTGGCTGGAACACTAGGAAAATTACTCTCCCAGTTTTGCCAACCAGAGCAGTGATGCAGCCTCGCAGAAGTGTGATCCATTTCGCTTTACGCTTTCCAGAGACAATCTTCAGGGTTTTGCAGTTACACCTGCCTGTGACGCCATGTGATGAGCTGGTAATGCTGTGAAAATAGTTACCAAGCTTAAACATTAGTTTCTTTTCCGCTCTTGGCAGCGTTGTGCGAGACAGTAACCTGTGATAGTCTCAACTCCTGAATCTGCTGCTCTTCCTCTGGTAGATTTGTAAAAAATAGCAATGACCACCTATGGAACTAAAATGTACTGAAGTGTATTGTTTCTGGTAGCCTTTCTGAACCAGGGTCCTTAACAAACCGGTGCTTATTGCTGACAATGTTATTTTCTGTTCCAGGCTCTTACAGCGCTGCTTTCCGACGACAGCAAGTTTGGCTTTATTGTAATAGATGGTAGCGGTGCACTCTTTGGAACTCTTCAAGGAAACACAAGAGAAGTCCTGCACAAATTCACTGTGGATCTTCCAAAGAAGCATGGTAATGCACTGGTCTATCTTTAGACTGTTTGCAGCAGAATATCGCAGGGTGGGATGTGAGAGTAGAAGCAGGGAACTTGGCCTGTAGGTGTTTAGCTCTGCTCAATTCTCTGCTCCCCTGAAATCTGACAGCAAAGCCTCTAGTCTGAGCCTTCTGTCAAAATTAATGAATCACTGTAATATGCAGTTCATTTTCTTAAAGTAGTGCTTTCTATTTTTTGGTGCATTTGACCCTTTACTTGTTTTTGGGACAGTCTTAGCTAGCTATCATTAGCACAAGTAGTCATACCACTCGGTAACGTATAGTTTGCATCTGATGGTGCTGCACGCAAACCAGAGTGGAAAGGAAGAAGCTGTTCCCTGCAAGAAGCCAAATGTAACGAGCACAATTCTGTTCCACTGTATGATGCTGCATTATAGTGACCCACTGATGCATTCAGCAAAATCTGTCTGATAGCTACTCCTGCCTTACTGTCCTTTTTTGTAGATTAGGATGGGATAAAATGAAATAGAAATGTCTCCCCCCGGTAAGTTTCTGCAGCAGAGGCTGCTGGGATGCATTGCATCTGCAAGAAAAGTATGTGAGGCAGTGTAACAAAGGAGATTACTTTTAATGGGGGTACAGGAGATAGAAAATGTGCACAGATGTTCAAAATTGCTGTAGAGTTGTGAGCCTGTATAAAAAGAAAAAAAAAAAACCAAACCAACCCAACTTATTTCCCTCTGTGGGATATGTGGAGAAAGATCTCTTGCTCTGGTGAACCCTCTGTATTCACTCGCTGTTTCAGTGAGTGCCCCTGGCTCTGCTTGTGGCAAACTAATTCTGGAGGTCGCGCCTGCCCTTGGCATCAGTTATTCAGGGCCCCATTGGGACCACGTACTAATAACCTTCCTGAAGTGAAATGGCTTCCAGATTGCTACCTCACGTGTGTTCTCTCGTCAAGGTAGAGGAGGTCAGTCTGCCTTGCGTTTTGCTCGTTTGAGAATGGAGAAACGACACAACTATGTAAGGAAGGTAGCAGAGACGGCTGTGCAACTGTTCATTTCTGGCGACAAGGTGAACGTGGCTGGTCTCGTTTTAGCTGGATCAGCTGACTTCAAAACTGAATTAAGTCAATCGGACATGTTTGATCAGGTGAGTGGCCTTTTCTGAGCAAAGCCCAAATGTTTAAGCTGTCAGTGGTAACATGATGAAATTAGCAGTAGCTCTGGCATAAGATGCATCTCGGGAGGAATGTAACTTTGATGTCTTAAGTGATCTGATCAAAACTAAAAATCTGATGCATCTTAGAGAGGTTTTCCTTTCCTAATACCTCCTTGCAGGAGGGAAGGTCTCCTTTTCTTAACAGCAGTGCTAATAAGAAATCTGTCCTCCCTGGTTTGGAATTGGCATTCGCGTTCTGTGTTCCCAAATCAAAGCAGAAGCTTTATTGGAATTAAACTCCACTAAACCTAATCTCTGTGTCCCTGTTGCCTGAAAATGATGCTTCAATATTAAGCATTCAGAGGCCCCTCTGACTCAGAGCCTCTGCTTGCAAGTGAAGCAAAATAGATTAATGCCGTGACTCTTGCCACGTATTCTTGTGGCATTAGGAAGCAGTCTTACGGCAGTGCTGTGTAATAGACTCTCTTTCATGTTTCCTCTTTGTCTTGTTTAGCGGTTGCAATCCAAAGTGCTCAAACTAGTTGACATTTCATACGGAGGAGAAAATGGATTCAATCAAGCAATTGAGTTGTCAACTGAGGTCCTCTCCAATGTGAAATTCATTCAAGAGAAGAAACTAATAGGTATGTGACTACATGTTCAGCCTTCTCCTGAGACAAATGTGCTTGACTGAACGTGCTGAGCTTGCTGTAGATCTGGTGTAGTGCCTTTGTGTGCTACCTCAGCCCTGCGATGCTTTGTGTTGGGCAGAGCATGACTTGCAGTGATGCTTTCTGTTACCTGGACACCTTCTCAAATGCTGCAGGACTTAATGAGGTTTTAAGGAGTCGGGGGGGGGGGGGGTTCTGTTCTTTTTCCCCACCAAGCTTTTTGTACCTTCTCTGTTTATCCTTTCCTCAGAGATTGCCTTAGTTTCAGGTCTTCTGGGGGCATTTGGGTGAGAGGGGAAAAAATATCTCCTAGGATTGTTTTTTTTCAGCAGGATGAGATTTAAGATTTATTGTGTTTTAAGATGGCAGTAGAAATGATCCCTGGTTCGACTGTCAGCAGACATGTTGCTAATTGAAAAGCACAGGCGGACAATAGCAACCGTAGCTACCTTACACTGCCGAGAGTGAAGTGATATAGTGCCTGCTGGTGGGTTAGTCCCATGGATTGTTTCATAGCAAAGGGGAGCGAGATTCCTGACGGGGCAGTGTTTGATGGAGTCAGCTTACTGATGAATGTTCTAAATTACTTGTTTTGACATGTTATCACGTCCCTTGCTTCCTTCAGCACCATTGCAGTCTCCTTTTATGTTTTTTTTCTTGCATTCAAATCGGGCTTGTTTAAAAATCCATGTGGCATGATCAGTGTTTGTGACCATCTCTTTCTTTGTATCCTGGCTGCAGGACGATACTTTGATGAAATCAGTCAGGACACGGGGAAGTACTGTTTCGGCGTTGAAGATACACTAAAAGCTTTGGAAATGGGAGCAGTAGAGATACTGATAGTCTATGAAAATCTGGATATAATGAGATACGTTCTGCACTGCCAAGGCACGGAGGGTAGGTAACGCTTCTGGGAGACTGAAAGGTCTGGGAGGGTTTAGCACCTAAGCCGTCTTGCTTGGATGGATTACACTGGAGGAACTCGCTAAGTAGATCTGTAAGGACGTGGTCAAGGGGATGTTGTGTGGGCAGGTTGATAACTTGCAGCTTCCCAGCTACTCTGGGAGAAGAGTGTGAAACTAGGAAGCTTCCACTGGGGAGAAAGAATGAAACCTAGCATGAAACCTGCCTTTCAGTTGTGTATAAATACGACACCAGTGCATTACAGAGGGGAGACTGATGTGACCCTTATGGCCAGAAACACAATTCCTACTGACTATAGATAAATTATATGCCTACAGCAGGACCTCTGCTTTTTTTGATGCTGGCACTACAGTTATTCTCTACTGCTGTGCCCTGTTTGGTTTCTCATAGAGCTTCAGCTAGAGAGAAGGGCAGTGGCAGTGACCAGACCCTCTGTGTTGTAATTGCTGGCTGTTGTCAGTCTCTTGCTGTCTTTAACCTGCCTCTGATAGTCTTATCCAACCTAATATTCTTTTTTTTTTCTCCCTTCTCAGAGGAGAAGATCCTGTATTTGACACCAGAGCAAGAGAAGGATAAATCCCACTTCACAGACAAAGAGGTATTTCAGCTTTGGGGCCTGTAGATTTATTCTTACTGGTGCAGAATTCTGAATATCTGAGCTTAGTTAGCTGCAAGCATGTGAGCACAGTGACTTTTCTGGCGCTCAGATGAGACTTCAAGGCTCTTCCTGTTCACCTTCAGTGTAACCCCTGGATTCTAGACTTGCTTTTCTGCAGTCTTTCCTGCTGCCAGTTTCAAGGTTGTGTAAATGAGTGGATGTGACAGGCAATAAGGGGTCTTTGACCACTGTCAAACCAACCATCCATTGGAAGAGTTTGGTAGCCACTGTGTAACATGCAGGCTAATGTCCCAAACCCTTACTCCCTGCATATTGTGCACTGATTTGGTCGATACAAATCACCTATGAGGCTAGAAACTATTACATTAATTTAGCTGCAAAGGAGTGTTTGTTTGTAGATATGTTTGAAACATGGTTCTCTTCTTCACTGCCCATTAATTTAGCTGCAAAGGAGTGTTTGTTTTTAGATATGTTTGAAACATGGTTCTCTCCTTCACTGCCTCTGAGTTTCTTGCCTGTGCAGGTCAAAAAAATCCTGACCAGGGGGCTGGGGAGTGTCTATATTACTTTGCAGAGTAAGCTGGGCAAAAAAGTCTGTCCCTTGCAGAAAGGGTGGTCATCTCTGTCTCATGAGGACTGCCAGGGTGGCCACTTCCAGCTGCTTTCCCTTCTGGTGTGGCAATTGCTGACTCCTGCACGCGGAAGGTTTACAGTGTTATCTGCAGTGATGTAGTGTTTCTAAGCCAATAATCACTTGAGTTTCTACTTATAAAACTCTGCTTTTGGCTTCTGTGATTGCCTAGATCAGTATTTCCTAGAGCAAACAGTGCCTGGTTAGATGAGTGGTGATGTACTGTTTGCGGGATATAAAGCAAATCTAAAGAAACACTGAAAACTAAGAGCGTAGCATGTTACGTGACAGTTGAGCAGAAGAATAAACAAGGCATTTTCTCTCCTGCTTCTCCACTGACTTCTGTAGCATGGAGACCCAAAACAAAGCCTGTCAGTATTTTATTTCTTAGCACCAGGAGCCTTCTGCTTGTGCCAGCACATCTGATTCAGATGTTTGCCTGCCACCCGGACCCTGGCAAGTGTGTCGGGCTGCTCCAGCCTGCGGAGCATGGAGGCTGGTGTCTCTGTCTTAGGACTGAAAAGACAGTGGTGACGTTTAAGCCAAAGACAAGTTCTGGTATGAATTTTCTCAATACCTAACATGCAGTGACTATAACTTTTTTTTTCTCCCCTCAAATGTCTACACAGACTGGCCAGGAACACGAACTGATAGAAAGTATGCCCCTTCTGGAGTGGTTTGCAAACAACTACAAGAAATTTGGAGCAACGTTGGAAATTGTTACAGACAAATCACAGGAAGGATCCCAATTTGTGAAAGGATTTGGAGGAATTGGAGGTAAACTGCATGAGAAAAATGTATTTGTCTTTTTTTAATGGTTAATTTGATAATTTGGTGCCAACACAAATGGAAAGCTGAACAGATTAATCTTACTCCTATTAGTCACAATAGCAGTTAAGAAACTATCACGTTCATCAGGGATCTTCAGGTGAATCCGTTCCATATTCAGATGACGCTGCATGTTAGGTAGCTGTCATTTCAGACTGTTCCTCAGATCCTTTTGTCCTTCAGAGTGCTCGAAGGTGGACTGTCCTTTCCAGCTGCTGAATTTCAGAGGGGCTGGGAACTGCTTCACTGCGTCTCTGCAGAGCTGTTGCTTTGTGGCAGCCTGTGCCCTGCTGTGTAGAAATGCTGTATGACAAACACCAGCCTAGTTCCTGAAGCAGTTGGATATCTGTTACTCATCTCTCAGAACTCCCCTGTACTTTGCTCTCCAGTCATCCGCTTCTTTTCAAAATAAAAGTATTTTTAGCCCAATATCATGGAGAAATGAGGCTTCTGAAATCCTTAGTTCTCTTGAGCTCACTGACCAGTTGCAGCCAAACCTGACAGAGGTGTGGATAGCTCATGTGCTTCAGGCTGACAAAAATCATTAGCAGGGTAAAGCAAAACCACCTACTACATGCCTTGTTCTCCCCAGAGCAGGGATGCCAGGACAAAGCTGGTGCTTATTTGCTGATAAGCCAACTGTTGCCACTTGCTGTGTTTCAGTTGGTGGCTGTGCAAGAGATGAGTGTAGTGTAGAGGGAAATTTCTAGGGCCAGAGAGCACCAGTCAGAAGGAAACAAGCTTGATTTTTTTTTGGCTATGTAAAAAGTAACAGGTTTCGAAGTGTTCAAGGTTTATAGCTTCAGGAGTCCTTCCTGTCCTGCCAGATGCAGCCTCTTGGCGTGGTGGGATACTCTTTGCTACCAGGCTCCAGTCCCTGTAGGCTTGAAATACTCCTTGAATTCCCTTCACCGACATAAATTTTTCCAGGGATAGAGGCTGCCCAGAAACCCAGGGTGGTGTTTGGGGTGGGAAGAGTCTGGGAAGACAGCAACTAAATACTGCCTTTGCTCCATTGTAAAAGTTACTTTGGTGCCAGCTGCCATCTGATTGAACTGACGGGCCATTGTCCTGGTTATGCCAGGATGAATGATCTGTTACTGGTATTTTTTGGAGATAACGATCCTCCTAGAATAGACACAGCTTTTCCAGAAGGAAGCTGGCCTGTGCTGGGCAGGTAGGTGTTTCTTCCTCCTGGCAGTTCTGTCAGGCTGTAGCATGGATGTGGCATTGCCACTCTAGCTGCATGACTGCTGCTGCGAGCCTGAGCCTGACCTGCAGTACAAGTGCTAAATCAGCTTCTGAAAATGAAATGAGAAACTCTTGATGTGCAGACAGGGCTCAGTAAACTGTTTAAAATGCCTTTCTACCTCTCTGAATTGTGAAGAAGCTAAATCGTGTTGTTTTTCCCAGGTATCTTGCGGTACCGAGTGGACTTCCAGGGAATGGAATACCAAGGAGGAGACGATGAATTTTTTGACCTTGATGACTACTAGGTAGTCGACCTGGGTCTGGCAAAACGTGCCTCGCCCCTCCAGCATCCAACCCAAGGAGCAAACTCATGGTGGAAAACACAACAGATCCCTGCCTTAGAATTGGAACATTTCCAGAACTTGATCCACAAGCATTGGATTTAAAAAAAAGCAAAACCCTACACTTTGTTTTGTCATAGTGTCAGTACAGCAGCAAACTACTAAGTTCCTATATGCCACTTTGGACTAATTTAAAAAAAGAATCCCAATTTTTACTTAATGGTGAAATTGGTTGCTCTTGTATTTTATGAAAATGATTTTTTTAACCTTCATGATACATTAACTGCTGTAAACCTCTTCCTTCAAAAATTAATAGAAGTAAGATCCTACTGGTTTGTTTCTTTTTACTTTGGAGAAATCAATTGCTGCATTTTGCAGCACCGTGACCCATTTACATGGCATTCTCAGCTTAGACTGCAGAAGAAGAAATGTAATGAAATTGGAGCCATTCATTCTCTTCAAAAGAATGAGGAGGCACTTACCTAGAGTGCTAGCTTATAATGTGTGGCTTGTAAATTCAGATGGTTTGGGGAGGCTTACCAGCCAAACGTGCTTTAATCTATTTGCAGAAGCACTGCTCTTACAAACTAGGAAACGCACTTCATTGATTGCAATGAAAATGCTGCTGAAGTCTTGGGCTTAATTTGGATTTGAGCAGTGCAGCCTTCAGGACTTTTTTTTTTTTTCAGTCTTGACAAAAATAAACATACGATTTAAGTGAAGTAAGGTACACTTTGCTTTGTTTTGTTCCTCAGTAAGTTTTTTTTTTTTTTTTTTTTGCTTTTTGCTTTAGGACTGTGTAAGGTTTCCTTGATTATGTGAATTTGAACCCACAGTTCTTTAGTGGAAGCGGGTGTTTTACAGGAATGATTAGTGAAGTGGAGCCCTTGGCTGAAACCTTAGTACTGGTGCACTTGGAGCATTTGATAGCAGTACGTGGAAGGTTCGCACGACCCCCTGGGGACACCCAGCTCCCAGCCCTAAGGCAGTCTGTTGTGTTGGCTCACACATGTCCTGTAAATCCGATGCTGAACTCAAATGTGCCCTTAATGGGTTAAAACTCCTGGTTGCATCAAGACTCAAGAGAGCTTTTTGTCACGCCTGCTATATAGAATGCATTTCCACCCCCGGCGAAGGGTTTTTCAGAGGGTCTTGCAGGCAGAGGATGAGGCGAACATTGGCTCAAGGTAACGCACAGGTCGTGCTTCTTTTTGGGGGTACCGGGGTTCTGTGCCGGGCACTCTGACACCGCGGTGCCTGGGGGTTCTGTTCTTGGCTGGCTCTGTCACTCCTGCTGCATCGGTCAAAAGCAGCTTCTGTTCCAAGTTGCATACCTGCTTATTTTTTTTTTTTTTTCCAATAATCCTGTTTCACTTGAATGGAGGGGGAGCTTGTCTTAAAAACTTCTGCCACGCTGTTCTTTGAGGTCCAAAATTACTGTCATTGTGAGCAAGAGAATTTGTAACCCTGGTTGATAACCTGGCAGATGGCTTTGCTGTCATTTTCACATCAAAGCTGGAATCTCTCACGGAAGGTGTGACTGGGTCCGCCGCAGATTTGCACAAACCCTGGTTTGAGCACATTTGCGGTCTTCACAGCGGTATGTTCTGGATTTTGCCATTGTAAATGGGTCTAATGTGACATGACAAGACCAGAAAAATTGGATGTAAATTTACATTTTTTTGAATATACTGCTTGTTGTTTCACATGATACATTAGGGTATGCAGCTCCTTTTTGTAGTTTTTATTTTTACTATTTAAGTTTGGAAATGATGCCAAATTTTTGTATTTCTTTAATCAATGTGTTCTCTTCAGTGATATATATTGCATTATATATTGATGTGTATATCAATATATACTGATATGTATTACACTTACACATACAAACACGTTAAACGGGGGTGAAAAATCCTAGCCTTCGCATACTATATAGCCTCTGCAGAGAGATCCCAAGCAGTGATATCTTGGTGTTGTGATGTACAGAAATGGAGAAGAGTATTAAACCATATTTAAGAATATAGTACGGACTCCTGATTTATTTTCTTTAGTCCAGGATACACCTGCTTTACCCTCAGCTCGGTGCCAGCTGCAGGTCAGTACTTGAGTTTTCAGGGAGCTGTTGCATAGCTGGGCTTGAGAACATCCTGTTTCTTCATTGCACTGAGTTTCTCTTTTAAGCTGTAGCAGAAATCTGACTTCAGAAGGGGGGAAAGAACCCAGCAGCCCCAGTTCAAAGCGAGCTGCGCTGAGTGTTACCTGAGGTGGTCTTTGGAACAATGGTGGCAGCTGAAAAATGCCCTGCACATACAGACACCTGTCCTTAATATTCCGGTCCCACCACCTGGGTGGTTTTTTTAAGAAGCCTTTGCAGTCCTCCCTTGTAGTACAGGATAGACCCGGATGAGAAGCGTACTTGCTGTTTCTCCTGTGTCCAGGCTGGATGCAGCGATGACTCTCCCAGAGAGGCTCTGCCTCCTTCCCCAGCGGGGAAGGCGATATGTAAGAGACATCAGGTGTTTTAACGGATGCTTCAATTCACCCGCCAGCTGGGCTTGCCTGGCAGGGATTCTCTGGCTGAAGCTGAGCATCCATGTCCTCATGCACCAGACCAGAGCAGGATCCATCCTGCGTGGCTGTTTGCCTGCTGCCCTTAACACGCAGGCTCACACAGCAAGAGGTCTTCCCGGGAGCTGGGGCAGGCTTCAGGGTTTGTACTCGCTGCCTCACGCTGTCTTTGGGCTGCACTGAGCATGAGCTCACAGTCCTTGGGTCTCCAGGTAGAAGTTTTGGAGATGTGACGTTTCTGCTGGAGCGGAAATAAAAATAACGCACAAAACCCCTTTGCTGCGTGCATCTCATGCTGTCTACAACCTCGGTGCAGAAAACTGATCACTGTTCAGCTCGTGGTGCAGATAAAAGCCTCAAGCTGAGTTCAGCACAAAATAGATAAAAAAAGAAAAAATATTCCCATCAGTCAGCATGTGTCACAGGAGAAGCTATTGCTTGCAGAAAGCTACCCCTGCAGTCTCAGCAGTTGGTGTAACCAGGCATGTGGATCTATATTGTTTTCAAAAAACCAGAAATATTTCAGTTAACCCTTTACTGGCAGCAACAGCAAACCTGGTTTCTGCTTTTCCATTTCGCATTCCAGGGGACAAGGAGGAGCAGCGCAGGCTGGCTGCTGCGGAGGGATGCCCGAGAGCAGTCTCCTTTGGTGTCACGAAGCCAGGCGTGCCTGGAAGCTGCTGTTTCCTCACGTCCTAATCTTCTTGGCTGGTTCTCATGTCTCTTCCCCTTCCCGTTTCAGTGAGGAAACCAGTGTGTCTGGTCTGAGAGCAGCCGTGGGCTGGGGTCCCCTCTGTGCACCTCGTCCCCTCCAGCTGCCTGGCTGCAGGTGCTCGCAGCTGGAACTCCTCCCTCGGTAGCGCTGCATGGTTCCAGAAGGATGAGGCTGCTGGAGAGAAATGTGGTGAAACTATTTTCTTCCGTATAGCTGCCAAAATAAGGTCGCTGGGTCGCTGTACCCCTTCTAAAGTGGTTTCTGCTGCAGGCTTGGTTTTGTCCTGGTCGCAGGGTCAGTGCTGGTGCTTGGTTTGTCCCCTATTGGAAGGCGCTCATTTAGGCGTCTTTTTTTCACGTCCAATATTGCAGAGCATCGGGTGGGTTTTTCCTGGAGTCTAAACATGAGCATCACCTTGCAGCGCTCTCACGGCCTTTGGCACGCTGGGTGGCTGCAGGGTGGAACTGGGCGGGGAGGGCGGTGGGGCCGGGTTTGCGCTGGCAGACGCGAGGGCTGGGAGGATGCAGGCTGGTAGCTGAAAGCCGCGCAGGATGGCTCTCCGTGTGCCCGCTGCGCTGTCAAATAGCGATTTCCCCAGAAGGGATCCCATCTTGATTAGCTGGAATTGAGAATAAATAAAGTGTCATTTCCAGTATGTTGCGTGGAGCCGCTTCTGTGCATCCCCGAGAGGTTCAAAGCGCACCCCAGGGTTCGTCCCGGCGCCGCTCCCCCCGCCCCAGCTCACGCCTGGGCTGGGAAGTGCCGCGTCGCTGGGCACCTACTGGCCAGCTGTTGCGAGGAGCCTCGCGTGAGTGGTTGTAGGGGATGAGCAGCTTCTGCTTTCTGTCTGAATGCTTTTTTTTTTTTTTTTTCTCTCTCATGGCCAAATAGCTTAAGCTCTTCTAAATGCCTCAGCTGCGTGTGCCTTGCCCCCTCGGTAACACCCGCTGGATTTTTCTTTTCTGGTTGGTAAGCCCATCCATCCCACTCTTCCTGCACTCCCCGGTTCGGTTCTCGGCTGGCACCATGTGCTCAGATACTCTGACAATGCTCTTTTTAAACGCTGCTTTGTGTATAGCTGTAATTAAAG